GGGGGGGAGTAGTAGGAGGAGGAGGAGTAGCGGTTAGGATAGCCCTTGGGGTAGTAGTAGTAGTAGTCGTTGGGGTAGTTGTTGGGTGATAGTCGTTGGGGGCGGCGCCACCGCGAGCGGCCTCTCCACCTCGAGCCGCCTGGTTGGGGTGGGCCAGCGGCCTCCTCCGGGGAGCGGCGCCCTCGGGGTTGTCGCCTCTTCGTAAGAGACGGCCCCTACCAGTCGGTTTGATTTTCGATGCTTGGCGTGAAATAAAGCTTTGCTTGACTTTCGCCTTGCATGTCTCCTTCCTTTGATCATGGACCCTAACACTCTACATTCTCTACATTACGGAATTTGTGCGTGGTCTCAACACTGTCTCTCCCCCTTAAAATGATGATCTCTCTGAAAGAGTAACTCATAATTATCTTATTATTTATATCTTACTGTAATGCAGGACATGGTGGGAACTGATATTTATTACGTTCCAAGATCTTAAAAAATCCTGAGTCCCTGCTACAATGCGGGCACGGTGCCCCCGCAGGCACCTGCCTATGGGGGGTCATTCCTGGCACCGTCACGTGGACCCATACTCCTGGGACCCCTGGAGTCCCTGAACCTGTACCCCACCGGCAAGCACGGACAGACCTCAGAATCCTGCTCCCTGGCCAGCCAGCCAGGGCTTCATCCGCCCAGGATTCCCACACTTCCCATAGGGCCCCAGGATCAGGCTTCCGCTAGCCGCTTAAGAGCCTGGAAGTCAGGGCCTCGGCCGTTTGGTCTCCCAGGTGGGGCGGGTTGAGATGGAGGAAAGGGTGGCAGGCAGGTATGGTCCTGTTCTTTTTATTTTTTTAAAGATTTTATTTGTTTTTTTAAGAGAGAGAATGAGAGCAAGCTGGAGGAAGGAGAGGGACAAGCAGGCCCCAAGCTGAGCACAGAGCCTGACGCAGGGATCGATCTCACAACCCCAAGATCGAGTCAGATGCTTAGCCCACTGAGCCACCCAGGTGTCCCAGTCCATTCTTTTCAGCACTGTGATTCTTAGCCTTAATTCTCTCCCGGCTTAGTGAGATGTTTGGGGAGAGTCTGATTTTATACTTGAAAGAAGAATAGAAATTTTCAATTTGAGAGAATTTTAATTTAAAATACATTATTATAAAATAAAATACATCATCTTACTCAAGCTTCGTATTTTACAGATGGGCAAACTGAGGCTTAGAGAAGCCTCGTAATGGTCCCTGGCTACAGTAGCAAAAGTTAGATTTGAACTCAGCTTTGTCTGATTCTAAAGTCCTTGCTGGCTGCACTCCACCAGCATTTCTTAAACTGGGCTGCTCTTCAGAATCAACAAGGGACAGTGAAAAATGCAGATTCCCTCCCCAGGGGCACAGTTGAGGAACCTTTGTTTCAGCACAGCCCAGGGGCAGGTGAAGATGAGCCAAACCCGGGAGCCTCTGCTCCCATCGGTACCCTCCCTGGGTGTCCCATAGAAGACCCAAGGGAGAAGCAGCTGCAGGTACGACTCTTCTCCCCAGTCCAGCTTCATTGTGGGTAACGTTCCCTCCAGTGTTTGTTTGTTTTTAACCCTATTCTTCTAATCCCTTGAAGGTGTGAATAGCCACCCATGTTGCAAACTTGGCTAACACAAACAGGTGTTAGTGTTGTAATTAAATTAAACATACCCAACAGTCAGTAAGATTTGCAGAACGATAGGAGACATACAGGCATTACTTTGCTTCCTGGTAATTAATCCTGGTGGATGCCAACGAGCCCAACCACTGCCTTCCCAGGTACGGTACTTCTCAAGCTGCAGGCTTAATAGAGGCTTTTCAAATTCTTAGATATTAGCTGGGTTGTCTGGTGCCAAGGTGCTAGGCAAGGTGCTAGGTGCCAAGACTTTAATGTTGAACAAATGACACAAAGTGTAGAGGCACTAGAATTCTTTCACAGTAATGATGGGTCCATGACAGGCCATTCTGGCTAAAAAGCATTTATTGTGTGTGCTCCCTGCTTCTGTCCTGCAGACTCACCCCTGTTCTCTTTCCAATAAATTCCCTTTCTGGTTAAAACCACCAGACACTGTCTCTGTTTCTTGTTCCTGAAATCACTCCCTCGGCTGTGGCAGGCACGATCAGTAACCCACCCAACAGCTGCTTCACCCCTTTCTTGCTGATAGAACCCCATTTCATTCGTTTGTACATCCACCTGGTCCAAGTGGATGGATCATGACTGGTCAGTCCCATCCTCTTGTCCAGTGACCTGTGACCCAGTTCTGGCCAAAGAGACCCAAGAGGAAGCTGCTAGAAAAAAGCTTCTGGGAAAGATTTTCCTTAGTGATTGTGCCCCTCCCCCATTCTTCCCACTTGCCAAGCTGCTACAGAGGAAGGAAAGTTTGGAGACCCTGGAGCCATCTTGCCATGATGAGGGGACACAGCAGCAGCCATGAAGAAGGCAGAAAAGGAAGACAGAAGAGCTGGAGTCCTTCATGACCTCCTAGAGACACCATACCAATCCCAGAACAACCTCCCTCTAGTCTCTGGCTTTGCTATAATGAATCAGCCCATCATTTAGTTCTTTATTCCAAGTGTTGTGTTATTTGCAGCTGAAACATTCATATACACTGATTCACTGAATTTCACTGCTTTCCCAAATAATTAACCACACATTATTGGAGCTAGATGAC